GTTAGGCAACCACAGCTGGTACACTCCTTATCCCTCGAGCCAGAGTAGGCGTGACATTTGACATGGAACGGAATTGGTTACTCGTCGAATATTTCAGTCTGGGACAACTGTCATCTTGTTCTGTGTTGGACAGAGACACAACAACAATTGTGTCAAGATGGAAATATGTCACAAGAAGCATAGACACCTCCAGGTTGAGTGGAAGCACGCGGCCACGCCTACCCGATCGCAGAGATTTCGAGTATAATATCTGGCGTCGCTCTGAACCTCTGGCAGGCCCTACCACCGCAGCGAACAAGGCTGTACGCATATGTAACTGCGTTAAAGTGTTCGTAATTGAACATTGAGCATAACGCATACATATACTTTCATTAATGTTACCGGGATCCATTGGTATTATCCATTGAGGGGTACATCCAAAAAAGTTTCTCGAGGTTTGAGGTTTTCTTATCGTTAAAGCCTTATCTTTACATTATTTAGTCATCGAGTGCTGGAAATCCAGAAATCGTCAGGATTTGAGGATCTGGGCGGAGTGAAACCTTCGATGGCTCTCTGTCTGGCATTTGTCTTCATACTTGTCTATTTTGCCCTTTGGAAAGGACCGAAGAGTTCAGGGAAAGTGGGTCCTACAACTTCCCGATTTCTTCTCCTCTGCTCATATTGAAAGCAAAGTCTTTCAGGGATTCACCGCTGGGGCCTCTCTTCTATTCAAACCATTACAAAACTATGGAAGTCCCCTGAGACGTTAAAGTGTGAGGGTTGCATCACATGCTTTCAGATGGTCTGGATAACTGCTACTGCTCCGTACATCGTTCTGACCATACTACTTATTCGAGGCGTTACTCTGCCCGGTGCTGCCAAAGGAATCTACTACTACCTTATGCCGGATTTCTCCAAACTGAACGATCCCAAGGTTTTTATTACAAGATTCAGACGGATTGATTATCAATTCATGGGTAAAGTGTGCTGTTTTCAGGTTTGGTCAGCAGCGGCGTCGCAGATTTTCTTCTCACTTGGACCCGGTTTTGGGGTCCTGTTGGCCTTGAGCAGCTATAACGACTTCAATAACAACTGCTACAGGTCTATCACTCATTCATGACTTATCCTGCACTTGCACACTGCAGAATTACTGCTTGCCAGTTTTCTGACAAAAACTGGAAAAATCCCTCATTCAGAGATGCGATAGTCACCTCATCGATCAACTGTCTGACGTCCTTTTTCTCGGGTTTTGTCATTTTTTCAACGCTCGGATATATGGCCGAACTCACCAACAAGGAAGTCAGCGAGGTATGTAAAAGTACGCCATATTTGCCCATTACTGAATTGAACGACGATTCTTATTACACTGACTACACACAGCTCGAGGCTGATGCTATAGCGTTCCCATCAAAAACCTTGTCAGCACAAAAGAAAACTTTATGAATAGCAACAATGCCAGGGTTTACGATTAAAGAAGCTGGACATCAGAGTAAGCACTCGGTTAAGGTTGTCGGAGATCATGACGCTTCGCTCATCTTCATTGTCTATCCACAAGCACTGGCTACAATGAGCTACAGCAGCGCATGGTCGTTCATCTTTTTCGTGATGCTCATCACACTCGGGATTGACAGCACGGTATGACCGCTCAGTGCAATAGACTCTAAGAGACTTAGATTTTGGACTCAACAAAAGTTGATAACCATGTTATTTCTTCAGCCTCCTTTCAGACCTGACCAAAATGCTCCATTTCAGTTTGCCGGAATCGAAGCATTGATAACTGGTCTTTGTGACGAGTCCCGACTTCTCTCGCGAAACAGAGAATGGTTTGTGGGCGTGGTCTGTGTGCTATACTACTTTGGCAGTCTTCCAGCCATCAGCTACGTAAGTTGTCATTCCTAAATCCATTACTGTAACTAATCCATCACTTCAAGGGCGGCAGTATGTGATTCCATTTCTCGACGAGTACGGCGTCTCACTATCGGTTTCTTCATTAGTCACCTGTGAAATGGTCGCAGTTTGCTGGTTCTATGGATTGATCGGTTCAGTAACGACATCAAGTCAGTTTCATTTATGCTTCTGCTTAGAGAGTCTGTATACGATAGCGCGAGAAGCCGTTCTACGTTCGTTTATGCCTCGCTTTTGACAGAAGCCAATAAAGTTGGCGAGGTTTCCACGACCACACCACGTCTCAGGGCACTTATCAACTTGTCACTTGTCACACTACAGTCATCTCTGCGCTTTTATTGAACCCTTCCTGGATTGCACTACAAAATCCCCGTAAATCAGAGGGGCTTACAGAAGACGTTTGGTAGGCGGTTACTGACCATGAGCCTAAAATGCCCTCTTCCTGTCCTCATCCTCTCAGTACATAATCCGTTCAAGTGCAATTACGATGTGTTAGCGATTCTCTCTACCCTTATGGTACAATGTATTCCCTAATAGTTTCCATGTGACCACGTCAGAGAGACGCAGGAGAACAGCTGTGAGAACAATGGTTTTACAAGTGCAGGTGTGATCAGACGGTCTGGTTTCCACATCGTTGACTTCCTTAGGACTTCATTAGAAATGAGTTTTCGTCCCTTCATTTGGATTCTTTACATATCGAACCGTTCGCTTTCGCAAGACCTTATGCCTTATCTTCTTACCGCTCAAACTTTTCTGTTCCAGATCAATGCTTGTTTCTATCCGGGATTATACGTGGAGATATGTTGGCATGCTGTGCCCCATATTCATTTCGGTAAGTTGTCGAAGCATGAGTGATCATACGTTCCAACATCGTTACGATTTTCGGGATGTGGTAAGACTAATAGCAAAGGCTGATGGTCAAATATGCTCGTAATTTTAATGGCTTAATTTCTGGAATCGGCAACCCCTTTCATCCCCAGTTGATTAAAACTAAAAATTACCAGTTGACCCATTCCAGATCATCTTCGTTATGACAGTATGGCAAGCATCACTCTCTCCTATGCAGTTGCCTGGATATATGTTCCCAAAATGGTCGGTGGGACTCGGATGGTTCTTACGAATGTTGTCCGTATCCAGTGTACCACTTTTTGCCATATACATGCTTTCATTTGCCAAGGGAACGTTCACAGAGGTCAGCTTTTACAGTTTTTTTGGCACTATTGAACTATTCCTACACCAAAGACTCAAAAAAATTTTTTGCTGAAACTTTGTTTATAGATGGTATTCGCTGTCCTGATCACTAATATGACATTCATTTCTGGCGCTGGCGCCATTTGGCGCCATTAGGCGCCAACATGACACCAACCCTTTTTTCGCGAAATTTGATGCAAACTTGTATACGGGGGTCAACTGACATCCTGATCAAGTATTTGCAATTATTTTTGACGCTGGAGCAATTTCGCGCCACTATTCGCCAATTTGACGCGATAGTTTCTCTTCCCAAAATCGATAAAAACTTGTGTAATAGGGTTGTTCGATGCCCTGATCACGAACATGGCATTTATCGCGCTATTTAGCGTTCTGATAAGGCTGAAACTGGGAAAAGGAGTGATTCTCTTTAGGCCAGGCTCAGTCCTAGCAAAGTGCAGATGACCATAGTGTCCTACATTAGCGCCGGCACCAAGAATAAATGTCATATTCGTAAACAGGATGTCAAATAACCCCCGTACACACGTTTTCATCAATTCTGGTAGTTTAGGGTGTTTTGGCGCCGGCGTTTGTGGCGCGGGCGCCAGGCGGTCTCGGCCCAAGCGGATGTGGTATGCATGTTCAGGGGGTCAAACTACCCCTAGGAACAAGTTTCCAGCAATTTGGTGATTTGGGAAACTTGGTGGGCGCCAGGCAGTTTCGGCCGAAGCGGATGTGATATTCGTGTTCAGGAGATCGAAGTACCCCTAGGAGCAAATTTTCAGCCAAATCTGCCTTTGTAGAAAAAGTCGATAAAAACCGGCCTGATTTCAGCAGACTAGGGTAGGAGTAGTTCAATAGTGCCGCCTTTTTTATCCTTGAAGTATATACTGAACGCTCACCTGCTGGATGGATCATTGCCATGCGCTGGGTGTATATATCCACAACGAGGTGTGCTTTTCACCATACCGGAAATGAAGCTGATGGGTCGTGATAGCTGGATGCCGTTCTGAGCTCCACGGGCTCTCCACAACGTGCGGCATGTGTGTCGATGCTGAGAGAGAACGAGAGAACAACCAAAGCGCAGACATGCAGCGCGTCTGGCTATAGTTAGGCGCACGCCTAGGGCCGTATGCTGTACTTCTCCTGAAGGAAGATATCCCCTTGTAAACCTCCACTCTTGTAGCGGACTGCTCCGCTGATCCGGTGTCGGTTGGAGTCGCCGAGGTGCTGGCGTCGGCGTTGAGCTGTCGGTCGGCGTCCGTGGAATCGAAATTGCCCTAGAGCTCCTGCCGAGGGTATTTATACCCCGAGATCCCGCCAAAGAGGGATATTCAAACGCCGGCTCACTGGCTAGGAGTGGACGGCGACTATTGATCAGGCCTTAAGCCGATCGCCTCTACAGCTCCTTCAAAATACCCGCTCACATAGATGCCCTGAACTAGAGGCGGCTATTGATCGGCGGTTGAACCCGACCCCTCAACACTCTCTGCATCTCTGGCTCTCGCCGCTCTGCATCCATACTCTTCTGACGCACGCTCAGTCTGCGAAATATAACAAGTACGTATCAAGTGATAGACTACACCCCCAAAAACGTTCAGAAAGGATTTGAACAATATTTCATGGCAACAGTTTCTTGATACCGGTAATTCGAGAAGGCTACGAAAACCGTAATTAATCACTTTCATAGCTGTCATGTGTTAAAAAATATAGCCGTGTTCGAACGCTCGAACAGTTTGCAGACCGTTATCATAAAGTCTAGACAGCATCTTCAAGACCCGCAACCTTTCTTTATGAAAACAAACTACCAGCCTTCCAATGATCAATTGGTCCTCATTTTTGAATGCTATTCAAAACTGCGGTTTGGTGTGACTCGACAGTTTGTTCACAGCTCGGATCTCAAACGAAACAATGCCTGCTGATTGCTGTCCGCGAGCGTCCGCGACATTTGCGAAAAGCCCGTCCTTTGACTGTAAATATCCCTGGCAATGTATACCCCAGATGTTCTTTCAACATTCCGGAAAACACAGACCAGGCCAATCCATAAGTGACTAAATGCTCTCACTCCAACCATGCCATAAGCTACCTGCCTCACCATGTTTGGGCCGCATTGTCCTCTGGAAACGTGTGACCGAAGACTCTCCACTACCGTGACTAACGACAAATGGCAACAGCGTGTCGCTTCCAAGCCATGTCCATGGTAGTCTAGTTGAGTCCTTTTTTCGGGCGAATGAAAGGCTTAGTTCGAGCTTGCCCGCCTCGGTGAATCCTCCCCAAACCATAAAACACTGCCTCCGCCGAAATGCACGCTTGGCTGAAAAATTTCTCCTGCCATTCCAAAATCCACTCGATAAGTAATACGTGTAGCCGTCTGAACCATGCCAGGTTTAAGTCCAATCTCATCGGAAAAACACCAACCTAAACAGAAAATTTCGTCGTTGGACAGGCTTAAGAAAAGACGCCACTCATCCTTTGACAATTTGTTGCCCAAATGTTCATTCTGACAAAGTGGAGGCCGAGCCCTCTGCTGTATAGAACTCGATAAGCTCGCAGAGTTGGACAAAGACGGCACGCGCATATGTTGCTGTTTGCAACATCGTTGTTGGTTTTAGTCGCCGATCCATACCGCATTTTGGAAGGAGAGTCGGCAGCTGGGCTCGAACGCCGTGACGCCGATGGTCGAGTTGGGAGACAAGACCGTCCAATCTGGCGGTTCGTCTTTGGGCAATGAGCTTCTTCGGCCTACCAGATCTTCTGTTTGCCTTCATGGGATTTCCGTGCGCACGCGATACGACTGACAACAAAGGCGAACGTGGCAGCTGGCTGAGCGATCTTACGAATTGCTCCAACCTGCTGTGTGCAGGGCGCCATATCGGAGCCTGCTTCTTTCGTCGGATGGATGAGATTCCGTGCAATTTGGTGATTGGTGGCAGGTTAGTTCGTTGTGATTTATTCCTTCGTTGAAATGGTAACTTTTCGCATGAATAGGAATGTCTTTTCTGCTAATTTTCAAAGTGTGTCTAACTTTATATATCAAGATTGGAAGCCTTATTGCATAAAAAATTTCCCGATTCTTCAATTGGCGTGAAAAATGGTCAAACATGGTTTCGACATATGCTGAACTCTATAGCGCGCCAGCCAACTCATACTTCTTCTTTAAGCTTCTACGGCAGTACCAACTATGCGTACTTTTAGAGGTGTTCTATACTTTATGAATAACGCACTGTAGTGCAGTGCAGAGTACATCAATATACTCCCCTTTCCCCCATCATTGGGGAAAGCGAGAGTTCGGGAGACATCGATGAAGAGAGGGAGAAGCAGAGAGGTTAGGGGCATTGATTAGACTGCTAGAGCGCGGAGATTTACTAGAGGAAACCTCCCTTCCGAGGGGAAGTATAGCATACGGCCCCTGGTCGTGCAGCACGTTATGCTGCTGACTTGCTTGTGGGTGATGTCGAAACGGCACTGGTTTCTCAACCTCCCAGCCTCATTTTGACGCTTTTTTGGAGTGACGGTGGCACATTTTGGAGTGACGGTGCAAATCTAGCGTATATCAGCAATGACAGTGACATAACAAACAGAAAAAATTTGAATTTGAGTAAATTAGAAACACTTAGTATTACTACTGAGTGAGAAAACCTTAGAGCGAATAAAGACGCTGCTTTCAGCACCTCGAAGTGAATCGGAACTATACGTTGGTTTCCTCTAATGCATGTACTTCTACATTATGTCTCAAACCTCTATAGTGTTTTGAAAATGGTCTCCACTTCCTGAAATGCCCATTTCTAAGAGAATGCAAACTACAGGGTCTCCTGTGAAATACACAGCCCAAAAGCCAAATGGAAAGAAAACCAGATACTCAAATTTGGTTATACTCGCAGAAAAAAAAGGAACCAGCATGGAAGATTATTGCAACCATAGCCCGGGGGTGCATCAGGAAGAATTATTCATATCAATGATAACAAATTTTCTGATAAACTCCTACCTGAGTAAAGTGAACCGAACTTACCATGCACAGGAGCACTCATTAAAAACTGGTAGCTGTTTTTAGGTAGGATAGATCAGAGCTCAAAACTCTCGACTTGACCACTTCTAATTGTAGCTACCCAGCATTAAGAAATGTCGGGGCGAAAGAGGGCAAAAATTTCTCACAAAACGGACGAAAATAGTTAAGTAGGAGATTCGCAGGTAATCAGTCGTCTATGTTGGCGCAAAGCCAGCGTAGGTCGATCAAGTATCGATCAAGTTATTAATAAACGTGGACGAGTTGCCCTGTACACGACACGCATCGCATCAACGGACTGAAGGTGTCAACTACTGCCGATGCGCCCCAATGACAATCCGGCCGCGCCGAACGACATGCACACGCGACGAAGTCAGCAAAACCGGCAAAGCCTGGCCCCTGTTAGAAAAGCAGTCGCGTCGGCGTCAGCCAGCGAAGCGACTGGTATCAAATGTACGTGTGACAACAGGTGATCAGAAGTGTGGCGAACTATGCACTAAAACGCAGTGAAAATAGGGACCCCGTGCATGAGAACCGCTCCACCCACTGTGAGCGGGTCTCAACACACCACAGACATGCTGAACTCTCGCCATATGTTTCTCTTGCCCAAAAGTTTTTCCTGATCTCCAAGCTCACTCAGGTCAGATGCGAACAACGGAATTTTTCAGCAAGAACTTTCCCATCTCGGAAGCAGCCCGCGTATTTTTGAGATGTCTCCTCCGCTTCGTCCGCTGACCCCTTGCGGACCTCAATCCACAATCTCAATCATGTCCCCGGTGCCTAGGCTGCACTGCAACTAATTCGTGAATTTTTGACCTTCGCCAGCCCACAAAATCGACACAGCTCCTCACAGAATGGGCGCGTAAATTTCGCTTCAGTAGCGGATTTGCTCGTCTTTGCCGGTGCCTGGAGTCTGTTATGGGAACCTTCTATATTTCTGCGTTGGCCTCCGCCGCCTAGCCGCACATTCCGCTACAACGGCTGTGTGCCGCATCAACATACAGTCCTATCATTGCGGACCGGTGGGGCGTGGCAGTGCGGCTGCATTGGTGCGGATTGGCAAAGTCGTCCTGCACAGTTTTTGAAGAGAACAAGTGCATTACTATATAATATCCATCCGTATTACTCGTTTTTTACCACTTATTGTCGCATACGCGTTGCAACAAAAAGGCTTGAGAAACGGTAACAGTGTGCGCACTCCTTCTGGCTGACACGCCCCACCGGTCCGCAATGATGAGGACTGTATGTGGCTCACATTTCTTACCGTGCGACCCTTTGTTGGCCTTAATCCACTTTCTTCGGTCCCATGCTCTGTAGCGTTTCACAGAACTTTTGTCTGTCTCCGCCACCCTCATGGGGCGGCGCACCGCCCCACTAATTGTTGTGTGCCCCGCAATCCTCAATAGGCCCAGCTTTCGCTGGCCTTGATACTCTTTTTTTCCGGTTTCTAGAATGTGCTGGAACCGCTACAAACGTTAAAAATGAGTTTCCTGCGATTTAGGGCAAGCTCCGCCCACTGTGGGTGGGCCTCAACACACTTTGAGCATGCCCAACACTCGCCAGATATTTACGTTCTGCACTGAGCTTCTTGCGACTTCTTAACACTCTTGCGAAGCGGGTTACTGAGTTCTATGAGAAGCACCGCCCACCTTGAGTATGCCTCTCCCATTTTGGGGGTGTCTCCCACAGGTAGTCTGGTAGCTCCTTGCTAACATTATTAAACCTTTTCCCCATCTTCAGGCTGCTCCAGAAGCTAATTATGAACACTTCTCTGCGATTTCAGCGAGTGCCCCGCCCACTGTGGGAGGGCGGGGGGGGGGGCTTCGCACAGGACAAGTGTGCCTTTTACTTCTTGTCCCATGCTCTACCCATCCCCACCTTGACCCGACCTCTCCAAGTCGTTCTTCAGGTCAAACCGAATTTCCGGATACACAAACAAACAAGCAAACTTACAAAGAAACAAACAGACAAGCGAATCATATATATGGGGTGATTATTCAGTAAAAACGGAGATTTCAGAACAAAAAAGTAATGATAATGCATAATTTCAGCGCTTGCGGTGGGCGACATCACCCCAAACGCGTCGAATTTCTGCTTCATCGTTGAGCGCCGATCCAACGCAAATCATCGACAGCACACTGCTTCATCCGATTCATACGCTGTCTCAAGTCTGACAGCGTGGTTGCTTCCACTCTAATGATCTTCCATAGCTGAGTAGAAATAGTGTTCATATAGAGGGACACGTCTTAGTTGTCCAGCTGGTTCACTTTGTGCAGTCTATTGCAAATGATCTCGCTCTTTTTTTTTACTTCTTTCTCATTCTCCACATCTCTGCTTCCTTTTCTAACATTTTCCTCAGCCATACATCTCTTCTACTGTGAATATTGTCAAACAGATTCTATAAAGAGCCAATGCAAATCCCCACGTCGATTGTTGATTATCGACAATAAGCAGCAATATGTACGCTGATGTTTAGAATTGTCCGAAGCTGTGAGTAGGGGTGAGGTTCATTACATCCATGTTGCGGCGAAAGATACTTGGCAATTGGTGTCACGTGCGCGCCATTCGCGCCGGTACACAGTCAAAGTAAGTGTTGTAAAGTGCGATTCAGCTAGCAAGGCCCTTCTGCTGATTTGTCCACGAAGCCGCGACACAGATATCCTGAACTGCACCCCAGTGTGTGGAACCTAGGCTCGTTCGTCTAGAACAGTTCCGTTCTGCACATATTATGTATTTTCAACACTTGTCAGATCTCATTGCGAATAACCATATATGCAAATTTGTGGTGGCGTTACTACTAACGGTTGAAAACCCTGAAAAACACTGTCTTGACCTGAAATTTTTGTAATATGAGCAGTTTAAGTAGACTTGTTTAGATACCTACTGATGGCCAGTCACAGTGGAAACAGAGATTCAGCGCTGAGTGTCGCTCCGGTCCATCAGTGAAATGTGTACATCTTTGTTGATCCATGGTGTGCCCTCTTCTAGGCACATTTCAAGATTAACTAATCATGAAAGAAAAGTCCAGTAAGGTATGATGATCCGGAAGAGTAGATTGTATGAGTACTGGAACTGAGGGAGTAGTGGCACGCAGCGGCTTTATCATGTTCGCATTATTCGCCTCCTCACGACGACAGTAGTGATTTCTTCCTCCAATAGGATCAAGCTTGGAAAATAATGGTGGGAATCTTGACACGTACAGCCCTGATATAACTTCGCAACTGTATTTATGGTGCTCAATAGTGCGGAAAATTAATAAAGCCATCACTTATTTAATATGGCTATTAATACAACGGCATTTATAAAATTTGCATATAAATTTTATTTGTGTTGACAATTATATGCAAACCAAAAGATGAAGAAAATATTTCTCAGAAGAAACAACATTCAGAAATACCCTGACCCGATAATGGTTACCAAGAGGAAATAAGGTCCGCGTTTCCGACCCTAAACTGAATGGTCTAGCTGAGGTTAATCTAATGAATCAAGCGTTAGGGTATATTCATACTTTACGTCAGGTTTTTGAGCGTGTGGCACCGTTCCCAGTATTTAGCGGGCAGTCGCTGAAAGCGCTGGCGTACGCTCGAAACGCTAGACCGATATCTATAATTTTTTTAGTCGCACGAAAAGCTCATAACACTGGAGCAAAATATGTACGTAGCCTTACGGAATAGAAGCTAAAGACAATAAGGACGTTCCGCTCAACTACAGACGATGCTCTCCCACGATTGAAAATAAAGATGATTTCCATCAATGGAAACAATGAAAGAATCAACAGGAAAGCGGAATAAGTATTTTATAAATAAAGAGAAAGCCGGTGCGTCTTGTGTTAAAATGACTGCGTCCCACTGATACTGTCTCAAATAGTCGCCAAACTGTGGGGTAAGCGGGTTCCTCTCCAGAAGCATGGCTCCGTGTACAAACTTACCCGTGCGCGTATGCGGCGCGGTTTCTTCACGGCGCTGCGGCGAGGGGCGGGCGAAGGGTGATCGCTTGCGCTTCCGCCTCTCTCCTTCAATTAGAAGCCCCTTTATGTCCCATTATGTGAAAGGAGGAGGAGAGAAAAGAGGACTGAACAAATAGTAACCGTTCATAGGTGAGTTAGTGGTAATGGTGAGCAGAGAATACAGAAAAGTCGAGAACCAGATCTATTATTTCAGTCAACAGCGGAACTGGCAGAATGATATGCTTCGAATGGGACGTAATGTTATAGCGTTATAAGGTCACAACCGACTGTTGGCAATTTGCCAAACCTCAGCTCAAACAATCGTGTGGAAGCTTCCACAATCGGAGGAAACTATGATTGTGATTCGTGATAGTCGACCTTTCTGTGATCTCCTACCACTACAACTAACTCACATATGCACCCACTATCTGTTCAATTCCCTTCCTCTCTCTAATTTTCCCTACTCTTCCTTCCACATAAAAGAGGGTGCTGGATTGGAGCACAGCGCCGGAGACGCAGGCCATTGCTTTTCGCTCCGCCCTGCCGCCGCGGCGCCGTGAAGAAGCCGCGCCGCATACGTGCATGGGTGAGTTTTTCCCTCCTCCCCAGAAGCAAGCACAATAACCCGATTCGTAAAAAGGAGATGTAGACAAAAGTGTTGGCAAGAGGAAAAGTAGAAGTGGTTTCAGAATTATGACTCAAACGTAATAATGGTAAATATGAGATTCCAGACCTAAACAATCACAAATAAAGAGGCTGACTGGCTAATGTCCGAACAATCCAATGAACGCATCTGTCAATATTTGTCCCTTCGAGGGCGGATACGGGTAAAACTGCCAAGTCTCCCAAATGCTGGTCATCTTGCAGGAAACGCCGAACCTGTAAAACCAACGACTATTGAGAACTGATTTTCTTAAGTGAAGGATACATTTACTACCGAGGTTTCAAAAAGCACGCGACAACGCACGCCAGGTTTCTAGCCCCATCAGGTGTTTGTTCTTTGAACGTCTCCGCACCACTGCTTGGTTTCAAACACTCCTTGCCCAATGGTTGGCTGATTACTTTATACAATCAAATAATGACAGGAAACCGTATTGACAAATGTTCTTCCGAGTCGCAATCTAATGGGGCCTCACCGTTTTCCACCGACAAGATTCCAGAGAATGGAGATCCTTCATGTATACTATATCAGCCGCTTTTTGTCTGTTTATTTGTGAGTTTGTAAGTTTGTTCCGAAATTCGGTTCGACCTGAAGAACGACTTGGAGAGGTCCAGTCAACGTGGGGATAGGTAGGCATGGACAAGAAATAAAAGCACACTTGACCTATGGCAAGCTCCGCACACAGTGGGCGGGCACTCGCCGAAAATTTGGGGTTCCGCAGAAAAATGTCATAAATTCGCTTCCGGAGCAGCTTAAAGATGGGGAAAAAGGGACTAAGGTTAGCAAGGAGTCGCCAGACTAACTGTGACAGGTACACCCTAAATGAGCGGGGCGTACTCAAGGTGGGCGGTGCTTCTCGCAAAATTCAGTAACCCGGTTCGCGAGTGTTTGGAAGTCGCAAAAAACTCAGTGTAGAATGTAAATATCCGGGCGAATATAGGGCACGCTCAAAGTGTGTTGAGACCCGCCCACAGTGGTCGGAACTTGCCCTAAATCGCAGGGTATTCATTTTAAAAGTTTGTAGCTCGGTTCCAGAACACTCCAGATACCGGAAAAAAGTGGATTAAGTTCAGTAGGGGATCGTCGGTTAAGACTGTGGGGCGAAAAAAATTGTGGGCGGTGTTGTGGCCGACGTCACGTAGCCCCAACGCTTCGTCATCATAGGCGGAGCATCGCTGCAGCCAAGAGGCGATCATTCATCCTTCTGGGAAAGGAACGGGAGCGGCTCCCCTTGATTTCGATAGTGTTTCTCATCATTTTCACGTTGTTCAATAAATTACTATATTGAACGAGAGTCAAGTTGAGCATAGATCGAAGGCCGACACAATTTTCCGGTGCATCGGCCGATACCTTCACTTAGCCCGTGTGGCGGCAAACGAGTCAGCTTGTTCCCTCTCATAGTAAGGTCAAGAACCGCTGATCCCGGCAAACGAGCATTTTGCCTCAGCTTCAGCAGAATGAGCAAAATCACGCTCTTGCTACAAAGTCTCGAAGACGAGTACAGAAGCCTACAATCAGTGACAGAAGTCTACAAGGAGACCGCTGGGCCAAATCAACCTCCCTCAGAAGAGCACGCACAAAAGATGACATAGCGTATGATTGAGTTGGACAGCAACTTCAGAGTTGCAGCCTCGAGGCTGCGTTCTCTGGTCAAGTTTCGTGACAGTCACCCAGAACAAAGAACATGGTACATAAAAATTTTTGACGAGTACAATAGCAACGACGTAATAGAAGAAGTTCCATTTCCAGAGCGAAGCTCTCTTGACAACATCACATACTACATGCCGCACTCAGGAGTGTGGAGAAGCGAAAAACCCACACCTTTGCGGATCGTATTTGATGCCTCATCAAAAACAAGTGGAAAATCCTCGCTGAATGACGTAGTACACACAGGTGAAAGCTTCGTCAATAAGATTCAAGACATACTCATGACATGCCGCTAGTGTGACGTCCTCGTTACGGGGGATATTCAGGCAGCCTTCAGCAAATAAGGATTGTTCCAGAACACCGCGACCTTCTACGGTTTGTATGGTTGAGGGACCCAGACAAGTCTCCTACACACTTCAACATTGCGCACTACCTTTTCAAAGATCTTCCGTTTGGAATAAGATCCTCATCAAGCGTTCTGAACATGTCACTAACAGCATTCCTCACAAACAGCGATCTGCCATTAGCCAAGGAAATTCAAGACAACATTTACGTTGACAACGTTTTCCTTAATGCTAGCACAGAACAGGAAGCTCTAGCCAAGACTGAGGGCGCCAGAGCAGCAGACATTAGCATGAATCTAAGGGAGTTAAGTAGCAACTCCGCAGAAGTGAATGCCGGCATACCTCAAAAAGCCAAGTGTACAACAGAGCACACCGAATTGTTAGGTGTAAGGTACAACACCAGCACTGACAGCCTATCTGTAACTGTTTCATTTTCACCCAAAAAGCAAATGACAAAACGAGAACCTGTAAGTGAAGTACACAAACTGTACGACCCCCTTGGCTTGGTTGCACCCTTGGCGCTTAAAGCAAGAATGCTGATGAGAGACGCTGTGATGATGAAAGCAAGCTGGAACAAGCCACTCAGTCCTGAATTCTTGAACGAATGGAACGAATTGTGCGCGGACATATCAGTACCGCCGTTGAGGTCGCACGCAATACTGGTAGCAATACCAAAGATACTGGAAATGCCACATTGTGGGTGTTCGGAGATGCAAGTCAGGTGGCCATCTCATGCTGCAGTTACGTATCCCATCCACCGAAAAATGACACGAAAGGTTTGTTGTGCGCCAAAACAAGGCTCGCTCCACAACAGAGGCAACTCCCCATCCCAAGACTGGAACTTTTAGCTATCCTGATAGCTGTACGCCTAGCAAAGACCATAGTCACGAAATACCGTCATCGTGTGAAAGCCGTTCACGTAGTAAGTGACAGTAAAATTGCTCTCGCGTGGAAGCAGTCTTCGCGCAAACTTCCTCTTTTCGTAGAGAATCAGGCTGACAGAATTCGTAAACTTGAACAATTCATTCGAGACTTCGGAATATCGGTAAAGTACTTCCACAGACTCGGAGAAAAATCTCGCTGACCTGGCCACACGACCAATTTCAAGAGAACAATTCGAAAACAGCTCATGGCTTAAGGGCCCAGAGTGGTTTTCTCTGCCGAGCATAGAGTGGCCAATCGAGCGAATGACTGGTGAGCCGTGGTTAGCGGAAGAAGAAACTCAAAAGATAACGAGAGACTCAGATATCTGCGCACCTGCGCTCAAAGCGCTCGTCGCGAAGTCCGATGGCATCCTCGACTTGAGACGCTTCAGACATTACTCACACGCATTAAGAACACTACGCGTGCTATGAAGACGCTTTCTCGCTGGCTTTCTTTGGTGAATGCGGGCCGAAACAATCACATCACCACAGAAATCGTGCGTTCTTTCGACTTCAGGAAAGAAGCGACAGCGGAAGAGATGAAGCTCAGTGAAAACATAATACTTCGCAAAGAAGTAGAACACATAAAAATCAGCGTTCTTCAATCGAAACACAAAGATAAGAAGATTTTCTATGACGAGAACCATCTAATTAGGATTCAAACAAGGCTGACTAATGCTGCCTTCCCACGTGACACCAAACAACCCATCTACATTCCAAACGATTCTGAGTCGGTACGTCTCATAGTGAACGAGGTGCACGAAACCAATATGCATTGCGGACGGCAACATACGTTGTCTTTGATAAGAATACGGTTTTGGATTCCCAAGCCTTCGACGAAAATTCGGTCCATTCTCAGCAGATGTACACTGTGCAGAAAAGAACAAGGCCTACCCTTCGCGAAACCGGACATGGCCCCATTGCCTGGGGACCGGAGCGTTATTTTGAAGACATTTCAAAATGTGGGCTGTGACTATCTAGGCCCATTTACAACCGACGGCAACGGTAAAGTCTACATTGCTCTGTATACTTGCCTTGCGACACGGGCGGTGCACCTTGAGCTTGTAGACAGCCTCTTAGCGTCCGCTTTCCTCGACAGCTTCGTGCGCTTCATAAGCCGCAGAGGAGTGCCAAACATCAGATCTGATTGTGCACAAACTTTGTGCTAGGAGCCAAAGTAATAGACACGCTCTTCCAGAGAAGCGAAGATAACGGGCACTCGGTAATGTCCTACTCGGCAACAAAAGGTATCAAGTGGGTTTTCAATCCTCCGGAACCACCATGGATGGGAAGTGTCCGGGAACGACTCGTCGGAACCGTGAAAAGGTGCCTCATCAAGATTATTGGTCGCAAAAAGTTATCATACCCAAGTTTTTGACATGTATAGAAGCGGTAGTCAATACCCGGCCGCTCAACAGTCCTTGATCCACAGGACATATCAAGTATACCTCTACGACCAGTAGACTTCCTGCAAGGCAATCTCAAATTCGCCTTACCAGAAACCAGCGACAAGGAAGAGCAAGATGATCCCTTGTACAATGATGCAACCATAGAGACGGTCGAACAGGCAAAAGAAGCACTCAAATTTGCAGAAGATGTCGCAAACTCTTTCTGGAATAGATGACACAATGAGTACCTAACCGAAGTGCGGGACACGCACAAAGCTGTTCATAAACCACAGAAACATACGTCGCGATCTCAGCCAGAGATAGGGGAAATCGTACTCATACAGCAAGATGGCTGGTAACTAGAAGTAATTGGCCTCCCGGGTCGTCGAACTTGTCAGAAGTTCAGATGGACTAATCCGGACTGCTAAAATCCTTCCTCCATCAGGAAAAACCATCCAGCAACCTATTTCGAAGCTTATTCCTCTTGAAATAAGGAGCGGAATAGTGCGAATAACGGCAGCAAAAGCTCCACAGGCCGGAACCAGCAACAGCTGCCGACAAGAGTTCTCCCTCCTAGAAAGGCGAAGCACAACGTACCATGACGAACTACCCAATGAAGAGGAGGTCTCACACTGTAGCAATCTCGAACACCATAGCGGCGAGATTCCTATACCCGCTTCTCCTTCTGACTCTCATCCACACGACCAGGCATCGCACATACTATGCGCAGAAGGGAAAGCGTCGGTGAAACCACCTCCAGATACATATATACTCTGCTTCAATGAGGCCTGCCGCAACCGGACCATCCATGATACCAGCACCTTTGTCTACCCCCATCAGCTCACCATAGTCATGTGAACGTGACATTTCACAGTCATACTGGGGCCAATGCGCGCCAAAGCAAAATGTGTCCACGTAGCAAGTTCTGTGATGATAAAGCTATGTTTTCACTTTTTCGTTGCTAGGAAATCCTAATTGCTGGCCCTTCGCAGCCATTCTCACAGCAGTCTGCATTGTAGCAACAGCAGTACTCCTCGTCGTGTTGTCCATGGCCGTGAAGAAAGCACTACGGGAAGGTGACTCTCAATCCACACCGAAATCGCGCAACCAGCGCCCAGAGTTCCGCACTCTTGTGGACATGCGACCATCACAGTTCGTTGTGATTGCGCTACTTGCTCTGACAACAATACCTCCAGACACGCTTGCCTGTCAAGAGACACATATGCGTCACAGCGCGGAGCTTATTTGTAACGATTCAAATGTGTGCACGATCGAGTATGAGCGAGAATTTCTATTCAACAAGCTCCACAGAGAGGCATGCGTGTATCTGAAATACCGAAATCAAACCATCGGTAACCTCAAATAACTGTAGAGAAGACACGTCAAAATTGCAACAAAGAAACGCTCTTCTATGCCAGAGACACATCACCAAGAGTATTCTCTAAAAAAAGATGTCCGTTAATGGGTTCCTGTCATGGGGACACGTGTTTCAATCTCCGAACAAATGATAGTGTTACCGAACTGCGTGAAGCAGAAGTGTATCCCGGCTACTCTAAATGCAGCGAGACATGCGGAGGTATCATATGTGGATGCCTAGGTCTTCCGCTTACAGGATGTCTGTTTTATCGGTTGCTCACGTACCTCTAGATAACGATGTGTACCTATATAGGTGTCCTTCATGGAACCCCGAAGTTCACGTGAGAATTCGATCCACAGTTGCTGGCAAAAAAAACAGCCCAATCTGTTCAACTTCACCCTTATGTCCAGGTCAATGTGACTGGATGGAATATGAGAGTTGTATCTCTGCAGCACCTCTTTTAGTTCGTCGCCAACAGAAGATTCGCAGATTCACCGAAACGCACATGATTCTAGACGATGGATTCAAACCGGCAGTCGAATGCCCTAGTGCAGATGCAGCTTTGGGGAGATTCAACTCATGTAAAAACAAGATCATCTGCGCATGTTCAACCAGCTCAGATGCAGCCCGATGCCTATGCCCTCAGCACACACTTAGAGCAATACGAAACTCCACTACGGTACTACCCCCCTCCACAGCTCAGTACAACATTTCAGTCATAGAAACAGTTTCGATCGACTCACACGAAGCAGAAGTAACACTGCTAATTACTTCTCGGAAAGAAATCAACCTTCTCAGCTAATCACGTCATTCCATAGGGAACTCACAACGTACCGTTACTAATGGGGTCTCTGGGGATCAAGCAGGCGTCATGGCACAAAGTTCGGGCGCGACGGGGTCCAGGGTTACCGTGCTGGGGAACTTCTGCTTGTCCGAATGCGCGCGGTCTGTTTTGAAATTGGGTCCTAGCTTTTCACCATCACAACCCATTTCCACAGTTGTTATGCGCAAGGTTATTTGCAGTTTACATGAATTACAAGCTCGTCTCCGTTATAGGGCAAAGATTGAAAGGGGAGGTATGGGACCAATGAGACAAGGACCGTGCTGAATATACCTTTTCCGCAAATGTACTTCAAACAGTAAGAGCCAGATCTCGTTTCAGATACCAAATTCCGGATCTTTGCGATGAAGTATTCAAGGTATTCAGTAGATACAAGCAGCACCGTCCGCCGTCCAATCTTTCGAGGGAGCAGTTGTGCGGTATAAAGCAGCTTCAAGAGTTGATCAAGTCCCGAACCTAGACTGTCCGTCAGCGACAAGGGTGGCGAGTTCGTGGTAATTCCTTATCAGCTTGATCGCGACACCACAGAAGACATCTCGCTGATACGACCTTATATCGTTCGTCACCTGTCAAGAAGTTTCAGTCACAGTTCCGCAAACTCAATCGAGAATGGTAACAATAGCAAAATCACCAGGTTTAGACGCTAAGTTAATTGCATGCCTCAAAATTGAGTCGCCGTGCTGCCCCGTGCTCTACCTGCTTATAAAGACCCATAAGTTCTCGCTCACGGATGACATGACTTCAATCAACCCCGCACTGATAAAGGTCAGACCTATTATTAGTTGCGTGGGGGGTCCGACGGACAGAATCGCGTGGTTCCTCAATTCTATCCTGACTCAGCTGCTTCATTTTGTATCGTCACATCTTGCAAATACCCAGATGTTCCTGAACCACCTTCAGGGGATGCGCCTCAATAGTACCTGTGTTATGGAGTCCTTCGACGTGGGAGCTCTTTACACCAACGTAAGTAATGCTTCCGCCATGGAGGCTACTTCAGAGCTTCTCACTCAGCACGTCGACTCGGTCAATACATATGGACTTTCTCCAGGTCAAATTATGGTGCTCCTCCGAGAAAGTCTTAATTGTAACATCTTCAGGTGGTCAGGAAAGTACTTCGCACAGACTAGGGGTCTAGCAATGGGACAACGACTGGCACCCACACTGGCCATCATTTTCATGGCCAAAATAGAAATGCCCGTACTGGAACACCTTCCCATGCTCTACTGTCGCTACATCGACGACTGCTTCATAGTCTCCTCTACACAAGACGGGGATAGACAAGTGCTTTAACATCATGAATGGCAGTCTGAATACGTTAGACTTACACGCGAAAAGCCATCTGAATGAGTGCTTTCCTTCCTCAATGTCCAAGTAAAGTTCCAGGGATCCAACCACTTCACCAAGTGGTATAGAAAGCCCAGCCAGTAAAAACATCATTCTCCACTGGCGATCAGCGCACGCTCTTCAGACGAAGCGTGCTGTGGTCAGGAGCATGTTCGGACCGCAACACAGGTATGTACAGGAGAGGAGGCAGAAGAAAGAGTTCGTCGAATGGCTCGAAAAATCGCTGAGCTCAGTGGCTACGAACGCCCTTCACTTTTACGTAGGACGACGGCAAATGGTGCAGGCTAGTAGATCCGAAACTCTTGACGGGAATACCCTTTCCAGTAACCCTTCCATCTCCGATAAAGCAAGCACTCCCATAAGGAGTGCTGATCGAGACCGTATGGAGAATAATTGTTGTGGTAGTGGACCTCCCGATTACTACCTGAAGCGACGTCTCTTTCGGAATCGTCTCTACGACCGCACATGTCAAACATCAGACTGCGTAGTCTGTCCCAATGGCAGGCCTGGAGACTGTGCGGTTACAGGGGTGGTCTACAAAATTTCATGTCAAAAATGTGGAGACGAATATATAGGTGAGACGGCTAGACCACTGTTTGTGCGGGTTAGGGAGCATTTGGATGGGAAGGTCAGGTCGCGTACCTCGACTGCTCTTGGTTGCCACAGGGTAGAAAGTCATAACGGAGAGGATTTTGAGGTCAGGGTCAACATCCTTATGCAACTCAAACATCCGCGCGAAAAACCCTGGAGGCATTTTGGAATCGGGTCACGGATCCAAAAATGAACCGCAGGGGAGAATGCGTGTCAATCACGCGCGAGCTAACCTTCTATATAAGGTTAGCCTTCCCTCCGGATCCTGGATACGATAACGGCCGACAAAGCACCACATCGTCGAACGGGCTGATCTCGTGATCTCAAAGGTGCGGTATTTGGTTTTTTCCCTATTAATTATGGGATGGTCTGTGGGTTTCGAAGGTCTCGTAAGGTGGTATGACACTTGGTCGTATAAATCATAAATTGGTTTCCACTTCCAGGCTCCGAAGAAGGCAATCGTGCCGAAACGTTACCATTACTGTGTTTAACAACCTCGTGTGAAGTTTGAAGACAAACAAATATTTAACTACTATGCAGAGGTTTATCGAGAACCGGACATGGCGGCCTTGATAGCCATAGATCCTCCCTGTACCGTATATGCAACGGCCGTCACTGGCTGCTACAACTGCGCGGAGGCGACCAAGACAACAATCCACTGCTACTTGAACAAGCCCCGTGAATTGGCATTAGACTGCTCATATCAAACGTTTCTCCTTAAGTGCTCAACAACAAGCGAAGCAAACCATCTCAAGCTCGAATACAACCGCGCGCAAGTACAAGATCGCTGCCGATATCAGTGTGGAGTGCGAACATACGATATTCTCCTAACGGGAACTTTATTGTATCATAGCACTGTAACGGACGACGAAATTTTCGATGGATCGAGTAAAAAGGTGAATGACAGCTTTTGGGAGCATTTCTCAATCCCAGATATCACCCCGCTCATGATGACTTTCGCACTGCATTGGAAAATTGCACTAAGTGTGATAGCAGCATTCGCAATAGTTGCCCCTCTGATCTACGCTTTTGGTCCTTCCGTTATCTCAGCCTTCACCAAAGCAATCACGGCAATCGTCGAGCTGCTGGTACGCACACTGCTCGCCTGTCTTGGCGGCGCCGTCGGAGCTTGCCAGAAAGCAGTCAATGACTCAACGAGACAGTAGTCCAAACTGTCTGTTCTTCACTACATCAAGAACAGAGAGGGATGTCACGCCCGATTTCCTCCTTTTTTCAACAATTCGCAGCCCTCCATCGTCCAAGCGTGCCGAAGTTGCCGCCGTCCACCTCGTCTGGCAAAGAAGACGCACCTGCAGCGGGCCTCGAGTCAGCGCTACATCCTGACACTTTCGAGGTCTCTACCCGCTTAACCTTGAGTCTGCTCGTGTCTGCTATTCAAGAACTGAAAGACACACTGCTTTCACTAGAGAGCAAGATCGACACGCTTCTCATCCAAACAACACCTCGCCTCTCCTGTATTTTCTGTGAAAACAACAATGAAGACGGTCATCGATCCTCCAGTTGTACTGTATTCAGCGACTCTATTGCTAGGTCTTTCCGACTACGAGACTGAACAAATGCATCAACTGCCTTGCACCAGCCCATGGTCAATGTCAGCAGAAGTGTCGCACCTGTGGCGTCTCACATCATGCGCTGCTTTGCTCCACCAGATCAAAACCGGAGCGTCGTCCACAGAAACGTCCAAGGCTTGACTACTAAGCACTCGTTGTCTTTTCAGGTTCGTTTCGCCGCAGTACACTTGACTCCCGTATTTGCTGTTTCAAATGTGATTTTCCAAATTTTGTCTTATTTTCACATTACTTAGCATTATTTTCACACGTGCCTTAATTCCTGACTACCCTGTTTCACCCTTTTCACGCCGTGTATGCAAAACGTAAGAAAAATATTCTGTGTAAGTTGTATAATCTATTAACTAGAACTCAATGCAATGCAAAATTTGTTCACTGACTCCTACTTGAAATGTAAGCGCAAAATTACAGTCCGCAACTCACAAAATTTAATAGCTGAGCATTTTCGGTTGATTAGCGGTTATTTCGGATCCCTCCTTCAAACATATCCCATCCTACATGCAATTACCTCTGTCACAAGCTGACAGGCTTTCAATTTTCGCTCAATTTCTTCAATGCCAGGAGAGGAGCCGAACAAAAACCACACAGACCGCAAACCGTCTGACAATGGGCAGCGCAACCAAAAAAAAGAATCACATGTGGGCATCATTTCGCGCAATCTGTAGTTCGCACGTATCCTTGTATTCGTTCATATGTAAACTGCTTACCATGCAATACTGACCTAGAAAGGTACTACCATTAATTCACGCGTTTTCATTTTCTTTGCCCCAGGAGTGTTGTGGCCGACGTCACGTAGCCCCAATGCTTCGTCATCATAGGCGGAGCATCGCTGCAGCCAAGAGGCGATCATTCATCCTTCTGGGAAAGGAACGGGAGCGGCTCCCATTTGATTTCGATAGTGTTTCTCATCATTTTCACGTTCTTCAATAAATTACTATATTAACCGTGATCAAGTTGACATAATCGAAGCCGACACAGGCGGGGGCCTGCCGCCGGAGTGGCGGAGCAGACAAAAATTCTCTAGACCGGTCCCACCGAACACAGCCACGACACCGGAAAAAAAGTGGATTAAGTCAGCAGAGGGTCGTGCTGTGAGCATTGTGGCAAAACATGTCGTGGTGGCCCCGGAGCCTCCTCCGAGGTGCGGAGTCAGACGAAGCAATCTGTAAATAGCTCCAAGAGACTTCAGATCACCGGAAAAACGTGGATTAAGGCAGTTAGCCAGTAACGCCGCCTGAGGATTGTGCAAAAACATTAATGGGCGGAGGCCTGCTCGGCACGGGGCGGAGCCAGACAAAAAAGGGGTCCCTGTAAAACGTTCCAGGCTCACTCCGAAAGACCCGCGAAAATGCTAGTTCAGGTCAGCAGACGGTCGCCGATGCAGATATGTCGGGTATACTATGTTGTGGCGGCCGGCCGCCCGAGCGTAGGCGGAGCCAGTACGAAAATTCTCTAAAACTGCTCCAGAGTGCTTCAGACCCGGAAAAAAAAACGTGATTAGCCGACAGTAGAGTACGCCGGTGAGATTGCTGCGCCGGCAAAAACATTGTGGGCGGAGCCAGAAAAAAAGGTCTGAAAACGGTTCACAGACACTCCGAAGACCGGAATAAAGGTTCAGAATCAGCAGACGTCGCCATTGAGATATTGGGGTTACGATATTATGTGGCGGACCAGCCGAGTGGGCGGAGGCCAAATGAAAATTTCTCCAGACTTCTCTGCCAAAGCAACTCCGAAGACCGCGAAAAAATGATTTTCAATCAGCAAGGGTCACGATTTGGAGAATATGTCGGGTGTACATGTTGTCGGCGGCAAGACTGCTCCGAGGGCTCGAGCCTCCTCCGAGGTGCGCGGAGCCAACGAAAATTCCGCCAAAACGGTCCCAAAGCACTGCAGATCCGGAAAAAAAAAGGTAGGATTAAGGTCAGCAGAGGGTTGCCGGTGAACAGTTGTCGGTGCACAAAAATTGTGGGCGGAACCTGCTTCCAGGTGGGGGAGCCAGACGAAAATTCCGCAAAACGGTCCCATAGCACTGCAGAGACCGGAAAAAAAGTGGATTAAGGTCAGCTAGACGGGTTGGGGTATAAAAATTGCGGGCGGAGCCTGCTCCGAGGTGGGCGGAGTCAGACGAAGAATCTGTAAAATGGCTCAAGAGCACTTCAGACACCGGAAAAAATGGACTACAGAACAAAAGGAGGATATCACTTGCTATACTATATATACCCCCCCCCTGTATATATATACTATATATACAGGGGGGGCAAAAAAAGTCACTTTTCTTCATCAATTTTCGTGGTGCTATAAGTTACACCTTATGAATTCTAATCGGAAATTTCTACCACCACATTAAAAAGCATATTAATTACTATTGTAAAACTCCGCTACAGCCTTCTGGACGAGCGCCATTGAGAGATTCTGGCACGCGACCGCGATGTGGTGCCTGAGCCGTAGACCACCCTATTGAACTCCACCCGAACCGGGTAACTGAGGGGATTCAAGTCAGGTGATCTACTTGGATATACCACATTCTTTAGGTACTCAGCCCCCTTACATTTCAAGTAGGCGAGAGTTTCTCAAACGCCCTTCGATTCCACGTGGTAGCATCGAATGCTGTAGCAGTACAAAGTTTCCAAGGGGTAGGGGCGGCGACATGTGAGGAGAATGTTCCTCGAGTTGCTCGATGTGACCGTCAGCGCTCACCTTCAGTCCGGGGTCCACGAAGAAAATATCAGTCTTTCCATTCCAGGTGTCCGGTCCATACCATCGACCCGCGCCTTGGCGACTGTGGTGACGATGATGTCCTAGACCGTGGCGACGTTGTCGGAGCTGCTCGATGTTGGAGGTTTTCCAGATTGAGAGTACTAGTCTCCAGGTAGCTACCCATGGGTGACTCCACACTAGAAGTTTCGCAGCTGTTTGGAGGTGACATGAATTCAAAGGTCTTCTCCAGTCAGGCTGCGACTGGAGATGACCTCATATTTTGGTGTACATGAAGGTGATGGGCGAGGGCCACCTCCTGCCGAGGAACATCTTGGGTATCTTCCGCCTCGGTACTCGTATCCACATCTTCTCTCTGGGCTGCAAAAACTTTGCTGATATGTGACTCGGTCGAAGTGACTTTTTTGGGCCCCCCCCCTGTATATATACCATATTCACTTTGAATCGGACACTTTTCAAACCAAATCGGACACTTTTCAAACCAGATCCGACACTTTTCAAAACAAATCAGACACACCTCTTACAATAGGCAGTTGATAACTAGACCACTGCTGCAAGCACCGCCCCAACACCCCCGCCCACCTTTCCTGCGCGGTCACAGTTTTCCAAGATGTTTTATGAAATCTGCCTCTTCGACTTTTTCTCAATTTTGCTATTTGCACACGTACTTCAAGTGAAAAGGATTGGTACCGATACAGATCTGACTCCGCCCACTTCACAATCAAGTGACGTAAGTTATGAATTTTTATAACTTCGTTCAACGTCGTTTTTTTCACATTCAATCTTGACAAAACGAATGCTTTCACACACTAGCACACTAGGCCCCGCCCCTATGGACACGCCCACTTCCGTTTTTCGCGGGATTTTGATTTTTCTCCAGAATTTTCACTTTTTTAGGCTGTGACAAGCGGCCCCGCCCACTAATAAGCTCCGCCCACTTTGTAGAAGACCCGCCCACTTTTCAAAATGACGCAGATCGGCGAGCTAGTCCGTACTAGCAGGTTATGGCCTCTCCTGTCACATAGAATGAAAAAAGGGAAATACACAAAAAAGAAAAACTTTGTTCCGGGTGACGGGAGAGGCCGTAACCTGCTAGTACGGACTAGCTCGCCAATCTGCATCATTTTCTAAAAGTGGGCGGGGCTTCTACAAAGTGGGCGGAGCCCCCATCAGTGGGCGGGGCCGCTCGTCAAAGCCTAAAAAAGTTAAAATTCGGAAGAAAATCAAAAGTCCGCGAAAAACGAAAGTGGGCGTGTCCATAGGGGCGGGGCCTAGTGTGCTAGTGTGTAAAAGCATTCGTTTTGTCGAGATTGAATGTGAAAAAACGATGTTGAAAGAAGTGATAAAAATTCATAACTTACGTCACTTGATTGTGAAGTGGGCGGAGTCAGATCTGGATCGGTACCAATCCTTTTCACTTGAAGTACGTGTGCAACTAGCAAAAGTGGGAAAATGAAAGAGGCAGATTTCATAAAACATTTTGGAAAACTGTGACCGCGCAGGAAAGGTGGGCGGGGTGTTGGGGCGGGGCTTGCAGCAGTACCTAGTGTGGTCTAGTTATCAACTGCCCTTGGTAGGGTGTGTCCGATTTGGTTTGAAAAGTGTCCGATTTGGTTTGAAAAGTGTCCGATTTGGTTTGAAAAGTGTCCGATTTGGTTTGAAAAGTGTCCGATTTGGTTTGAAAAGTGTCCGATTAAAGTGAAAATGGTATATATGCGTGATGCGAAAATTAATAATTCTCTCTGATCAGGCCTAAGAAAGTTCGAACTGATAATGGGAAGGAGGGCGCGACGGGAAACTTAATGGTGATCGACAGGAAGAGATAACGACTGATAAGAGTACATAAGGGACATAGAAGGAGAGCGTCAGTGAGCTTATAACGCCCAGTGGGAACGTGACCTCAGGGAGTTATACGGAAAGTGCGACGAGAACACTAGTCTTTCGATTTTTTTTCCTTCTTCGCGCTCCGTACGACTAAACTGCGACCACTGTTTCTTAAGTATCACAGAGCCAAAATTCTGTGTGTGAGCACGTCTTATTCCTCTCCGCTAGCATTCGGAATCGAACCTTTCCGAACAAGAGGCGGTTTGCGCGCTCAACTCTTCCAATAGCATGTAAAAGCTAGGTTCGCCAATAAGGAGTGATAGGAGCCAGTAACAACTGACCGTGAGGAAAATGCTCTACCAAAGCTGGAAAGCTTTCATTCTTGAGTCAAAACTGCTACCGTAGAAACATTTCCGTCCGCTTAGCATTGTGGATTTTCATTGAATGACAGAAGATTTGAATGAGATTAGGCACCGGCGTCCTTCTATTCTATAAACCAGTAATGCTGTGTGTCGGTTTGTACGTGTGAATGTCTGCCCGTCCGCAAAATGCTTCACGGGTTCAAATTAGTGAGGGGAGAATGCGACCGCTAGACAACGGAAACCTATAGCTAATCCAAATGAAATAACAAACTAAGATGTTGTTTTGATTGTGATACTATCACTATATAAGACAACCATTTAGTACACTCCGAGCCATTGCACAAGCAGCTCGCGTAGCAGCTGGACGTGAGCTCGCGCGTGGGTTGCTCCATCTATTACGATTCCATCAAAATAGCGCAGTATGAGCAGCTAAGTGAATGAACAAATTCCGTTACCATTATAAAGTGCGCCAATCCAGCTGAAGAGAAGGAGGAGACCTCGGCGTCAGCCGGGCGATCCGACTAGTTTGCTCATAAAGAAGAACAAAGAGGATAACAGGTGGTATATCTAAAAGCGCGTTCATCCTTCGTGATCGCTCGACTGAATCGCGCTAATCAGTCGAGGGATCGCTACCGGGGGCGCTCACCCACCCATCTGTGAACCGCCGTAAAGAATATAAAATCATACCACTGGAAGAGGAATATATCAAAACACATCTATAATGAGTAACACACTCCCAGAACGTTTCAAGAAAATGCTAGGCACGCGTGCACAGAAAGATATAAGAAAAATGAAGCAGTGCATGAATGCGGCCCAATTGAACTCCGTTGTTGCGGCAGTTCACCGTTAGCGGTGGTGTACCCCGTCGCGACCGCGAATCTGAACCGTTCTATCAAGGAACTTAGGCCACGTCTTTGCTACAGATGCAAGGGCCCGTACGATACCATCCGCGAGATGTGGTACGGTAGCTGCATACTTTAAAGGCACAGTTCGCGACCGCAAATTGCGGGAAACGGAACTCAAATAGGCACAAAAAAGTGCTAAGTATCTGATTAGCGGAGAAAAGCAGCAGAAAAAGCAGTCCGAAATGTTATAGAGAAAGATAACATAGTGGCTACTAGCTAGTAGCTAGCAGCCGGTGAGGGTCGGCATGGGCCT